CCAAACCCAAACCCATATTAATTTGATCAATAAATTAAAAAAAAATATATGCAAGGAATCTTTACTGAGTAATATTGAATTTATTTCAATTAAGATTTATTAAAGAAAAATGTTTAATTAATTATAATTAGTATTTTTATGATTTAACCAATTTCTATTAATCGTAAAGAAGAAAAATTGTGGTATGATAAGGGTAATGAATTGTTATAGATCATATTTAGGATGTGCATTAGCCGATATAAATCAATTTCAAGAAGCAATTTAATGTTTTAATGAAGCTATTTGTGTTAATCCCAAACATGATTTAGCTTTGATTGGCAAGGGTAATTTATGTTTATTGTAGAATATTAGGTAAGGCATTAACTAAATTGGAGCAATATCAAGATGCAATTAATTGTTACACCGAAGCTATTTCTAATAATCCTAAATATGCTGCATAAATTAGCAAAGGTAAATTATTGTTAAATATTCATATTTAGGTGATGCAACATATAATTTAAATCAATTTGAAGAAGCCATTTAATGTTACAATGAAGCTATATCTATAAACCCTAAGGATGTTGATACATGGAATAACAAGGGTAATCTATCATTTATTATTACTAAATAGGTAATGCATTATTCAATTTGAATCAATTTGAAGAAACTATTAAATGTTACAATGAAGCATTATCTATTAACCCTAAATATGTTGATGCATGGTATAACAAGGGTAATCTTTTAATAAATATTAATATTTAGGTCATGCATTATTCAATTTGACTCAATATGAAGAAGCTATTGCATGTTACAATCAAACTATATCTATTAACCCTAAATATGTTGATGCATGGTATATCAAGGGTAATTTGGTGTTAAATATTATTATTTAGGTCTCGCATTATTCAATTTGAATCAATATGAAGAAGCTATTGGATGTTACAATGAAGCATTATCTATTAACCCTAAATATGTTGATGCATGGTATAACAAGGGTAATCTTTTAATAAATATTAATATTTAGGTCACGCATTATTCAATTTGACTCAATATGAAGAAGCTATTGCATGTTACAATCAAACTATATCCATTAACCCTAAATATGTTGATGCATGGTATAGCAAGGGTAATTTGGTGTTAAATATTATTATTTAGGTCTTGCATTATTCAATTTGAATCAATATGAAGAAGCTATTGGATGTTACAATGAAGCATTATCTATTAACCCTAAATATGTTGATGCATGGTATA